CCTTGATATTATTTGAAGGGATCTTATAAATCTTATAAAAACTGTTTCAATAAGCAATGGTATAACCAAGAAGGATATGGAGATAACGAACAGTATTCAATCTCAAAGTCCATAAAACAATACAAAATAAGATCAGAGCAAACACGGACTCCCGAAACAACAGAGGTGGGATCAGGTGCCATGGAGGAGTGAGCATCCCCTTCCGACCGGACACACCCGCCGTGTGCTCTTTGTCATGATCAGGAAATAAATAGTGTATAAAAAATGGACTAACAATTGGCATGAAAAACGTCAGTCAGCATTTGACTCAATGATAAATTGTATTTGCTGACAAGGTCATTGTATCGACCATAGAACTTACGAAGTGTTCTTGTTTCATCAACTTGCTTGTCAATAATTTACCTCGTTTCAGAAATTGTTCATACGTAGAGTATGCTTATGCGTATCGAGTCAACTGAGATATATAAACTACGTATGCAGGTGATGAAGGTATATAGCTTCAGAAGTTAGGGAAGTTGACGATAGAAAAAAATTGAAGTCATCACGTTTATTATATAGTTTTGTTGTTAGATTACCATTAGGGTCTTTTTCAAGTAAAATATCCAAGTTTGAAACAGAAATGTCAGACTCTGTGGTATCTTTTATATCAAGATCACCAGGATATATCGTATCGACATAGGAATGGAAATTACCTTTGTTAATTGACAATACGTCGTCGATATATCTAAATGTCTAGTTAAAGGCCACAGCAAGTGTTTTCTTCTCTTCACGCATAAGATTTTGCATAAATTCTGCTTCATATGAATATAAAAATAAGTCTGCTAATAACGGTGCGCAATTTGTACTCATTGGAATTAATATATAACTTATTTTTATAATGGCATGGGAAACGCACCTTTGAATGTGAGCATTTTGTCATCTAATAATCAATTTCATTTATTAATTTCTCGTTAAATTCACAATTTCTCAGTTCTATGAGATCTTGTAAACTAATTGGCAGAGATCGAGTAATGAAATCAAACTGGAAAAAAATAACGCTGGAAATGGGATGGTTGAGTTAATTGTTAAATAATCACATGCATGTAGACTTAACTGCCGAAAAGAGAGAGAAAAAAATAGTCCAGATTGCGATTTTTTACGTTAGAAATTAAAATTTAACGAAGCTGCATCTTCCTAAGTCAAGAGTTTCTGATCCGCTCCGCTCCACATAAATCCTTGACCGAATTGATTTAGTTTGACGGGGTAAGAAATGTATACATACATCTATCACACTAACGATGAAATAGAAAAATGATTAAAATACACATGTATCAAGGTGATTCTTTTCAACACTACATGTAATTGAACTTTTTTGTTTTAAATTCTTTAAAATATTTTTAGTGAATGAATGTCATGGTATCAGTCCACGAACATATGAAAACCCTCCAATAAACAACATTTTTTATCTAAAAAATGGGATTTAAGAAAAAAAATCAATTTCAAACATTATGTTACCAATTGATTCAAAGATATGCTATCAATTATAGAAAATAAAGTAGTAATTATGGTATGCTGTCACATGTAGAACAGTAAATTGCATTTTACGTTTTTGAAATAAATTTAATTAGCCTATACAATGAAAAAAGCATGTTAGCTGGATAAATTTTGAAATAGGGTGATTTCACCATGCATCGGATACATATCTTGCTTCGGACAACTTTAGACAATGAATTCTCTTTCAACTTAAGAGTTCCGTGTATTTATTTGTTTCTGTCTAGAAGCTGAAAAATTAAATTTTTTAATGATACCGATTTTTATTATCATGTTGTGATAAAAATACCCTGAGAATGGCCTTAAAATTACGGCATATTTTACATCATCAAAGGGGAATAACCAGAAATTTATGATTTGGCGATTTTTAGAGTTATCGTCCTTAAAATTCGACTTCAACGGAACGAGTCAGACTTTGGTGAATAAAGTCAAAGATTGGTAATTTTACATACATTTTAAAGAAATTTCACTTCAAAGTTCCTGTAATTCTTTTTAGAGCTGGTTTTCACTAGTATGTTCATTTCACCGTACATGAAATTTTAAAGTCAGCTTTCCGATGCAAAATTAGTTTAAATCACTATTTTCTAACACGATGATAACTGTTTTTTGCAAAAAGAAAATAATGACTGTCAAAACACAAGTTATCGATATATGACGTCTGGAATTTGACTCAATTTATTTCTACAAACCAGAGTATGATAAATCATGAAAAAAGGGCGCGAATTACCGCATTATACATTTTAAAGCATTTCTAAGGCAGACATGTCTCTTGAATCGTTCTTATTTGTGCAACGATATCGTCAATTAAATTTAAGTTGAATATAATTCTTAGAAAAAGATTATATATATCATGCATTTTAAAACACTTTAATAAAGATATGATATCTTCTGGTCAACATACTACATGTAAACAATTGAACTTTTTTGTTTTAAAATCTTAAAAATATTTTCAGTGAATGAATCTCAATAAAGGGCATATAAGTGCCACAAATTGATATTTAAATAACAAACTAAATGTAAAACAACATTTTTTATTTTCTAAAAAATATCGCTAGAACTTGTTGAAGTAAAAAATCAATTTCAAACATTATGATACCAATTGATTCAAAGAGATGCTTTCAATTATAGAAAATAAAGTGGTAATTATGGTATGCTGTCACATGTAGAACAGTAAATTGCATTTTACGTTTATGAAAGAAATTAATTTAACCTACATAATTTCAAAAATGCATATTAAGCTGATATTTTTTTTAAATATTATATTCCAATTACTCATAAAAATGGTAATATTTGATTAACTGCGTGTATAGGAAAAAAATTCTATCTAATACAAAAGGGTGAATTTGTTATCACGTTGCACGTTCCAATTATCAATGACGTCATGTGACGTTATTTAAAGTTTACTGTGAAGTCACACAAAAATATGACTTTTATGTATTTCTCATAATACCTAAAATGAAATAATAATTTGCAACTTTTTATTATATTAGCATAATAAACAACATTAAAACTTATCAATGCATTAAAAAAAATGCTAGTTAAATCTCATGTAGCTGGTTATAAACAAAGCACAGATCGCAATGAACTTGTAAAGATGTCGTCATTTTGGTAAAAAATGACGTATTTCATGAGCAGTGAGAGGCAGATTGAGGATTTTTTTAACAATGAAAAATTAGTTTTATTATTATACGGAATATTATTTTCAGGTTTTAAATAGTTGGTAAATACCAATGTATATGTTTTGTTTAGTGAGATTATTCAGTAACTATCAAGAGAATGTATTTATTAATTATGTCCTGTTTTCATGTGCAGGTTACGTATATTTTACAATGGGATGCCTCTTAAAATTGTACTTTTTACAAGGATATACGCTTAATAGATCTTGATTATTTTTTGAATATAGATAAAGGGTATTTTTCTTAACTTGAAAAATGCTACTGCTTTCTTTAAATTGAGGGTGTGATTTTATAAGTACACAAAATATTTGGTAAAGATCAAACATACTTCGACATTGGCTTATTTACCTGAAAATTTAACTATTAAAACGCTATTTCTATTCAAAGCAGCAGCACTTTTCAGAGACTACAAAGTATGCAGAAACAATTAATAGTTTGAATTTTTAATTTCAACTAGGGCATGCCCTTGCGATATTGAAATTTGTTCATGACCTACATTCAGTACACCAACTATGCATTCATCACGTGACTGTCCATCGATGGGACCAACCTTTATACAGTACAGAGCTGGTTATACTATGCCATTTCCATAAGTATTAAAGCTTTTCGATAATAAAATAGCTTAATTAAAATAAAATCAGTTTTAAAAAAAAATCTCTTTTTTGCACGTCTATTTTCCGTTGATTTCTCATAGTAGGCCTTAACAGTGTTGCGTAAGATCAGCGGATAGTCAGAGTCGACTGCACGTGGAAAATTGCCCTCTGTCAGTCAAAATGAGGCGGGGCCTTCAGACTTGAAGGAAACAAAAATGGCGGCTTGGATAAACAGGAGGAAGATTTGAATCTTCTGTTTGCGGTTTCCAACTATTTTGTAGAGGGAAAAAAAACGTCTTATGGTGTGGCCACTAAATTGGCAGATTAGTTAATAAGTTGTTAGTAAACAAACTCGAAGATTAGAAGAAAAATGACTTTTGAGATTTGCATTTACGGCTTGAGAACTGTAAGTTGTAATTTCCTCAAGTGAATGGTATTGTGTAACTTGTGTGGAATTACTGCATGAACTAAACTACGAGATCGACGGACGTTAAGGTACATAAAATTCAGAAAACCTTATTGAAAGGACGTTGTCCGGTGATCAAAGTGGTAGATAGTTTGCTGAAACCTAACAATGACTTTGACAAAAACAAAGCTGCAAACGATCTACTTGATGGCGTTGTCATGTTGGCCTCCGCTGATACTGAGATATCTTTGGACAGAAAGCGTGTACTAGAAACACCATGATTCAAGAGTATAAGAAACTGTGCACAAGTCAGACTGAAATCACAGTTTACCTGTTTGGTGATGATGTGGTTGACAAAATGAAAAATATTGATAAGTAAAAAAATTTAAAAGATGCATAATTTCTATATTTCATTTATTATTCAATTTTTATATATGTTGACAAGGGCAATAAGTCCTTGTAATGTATTTTTATCCTTTATTGTACGTCTAAAGTAAAATAGTAAAAATATAGATCATATCGAGAGGATTTGTTCATGGAGGTATTCAAAGATTATATTATATTTTACCGTATTTATTTATGATTAATGAATATTTTTTTCTTAGAATTTTCAAAACAAAAACATAATATAATTGCTTATTTCTTGAGAACTTGTATTCTTTTATTATTTTTTTGGAGGGGTAGGGGAAGGCACGAAAAAACAAATATTGATGGTTTATTTGACGCACAATTGTAAATATCTTATCTATTACTCATATCAGAGTTCGTGGTATACATATCAAAACTAAAGATAAAAGTTGACCTTTTTACCGTGGAGGACGCAAACATTTATTATGTTAAGTTTGCTTCCAATCTTTATAATTGTGCTAAAGAGTAAGTTGGTTTTAATTTAAATCTTGTAATTTGTGACAGGTCGAGTTTATTCTCTCTCTCTCTCTCTCTCTCTCTCTCTCTCTCTCTCTCTCTCTCTCTCTCTCTCTCTCTCTCTCTCTCTCTCATCAGTAGGTTAAAACATATGGAATTTTTTTTTCAATAATTCTTTGCAAACAATGTCATTGTATGGACGGAATGGAATTCAATGGATTCGCTGAATGTGGTGTATAAATCATTGACTCTTTCTACACTTGCTGGTTATAATAGGTTTTATCAGTTGTGTATCCTTTTTCAAATTACGTCTGTTTTTTCTGGAATGTAAGCAAAGGCACAACATGCATCAGATTAACTTTTATCATACTGTATAGCAGGTTAAAATCGCGGGCGGAAAGATAATTTTCAAAATCGCGGTTTTTTGTCAAAGGAAAAATCATGCTTTTCTTAAACAGTACTTGCATGCATTTTTCGTTAGGTTTATTGATATATCCCGTCTCTATCTTACGAAAGTCTATACATGTATATCCCATATATCATCAGACAGAAAAGTCAAGTCTATATATTGTGTCGATTTTGAGCCCGATTGAATAATAACGAAATACCGGACTGATCCCGATTCGAAGTAAAAACAATGTTACTGTAGTCAAAATGTTGAACTTTTAATCATATAATTGAAATTAATTGTCTTTACCCTGTTTACTTCGTAAGTGTCTTGATTAAAGGTAAGGACTGAGTGATACACTGTACGCACGGGTGGAATTAAACAAGCAAGTGTAATTAAATAATTACATCCAACGTCTACTAGATGGCAAAATTAATCGTTAGCTATAGAAATTTATTTTTAAAACAATTAATAATCTTTAAAAACACCTTCAATTACGTGTTTGTAATTGATCCATACACCGGCAAAATTCTAAAGAGAGTCTATATCTCGAATATATAAATTACTGCCTTTGTTTTTGTACGGAAAGATTTGAAATAGATTTAAAAAATCTAATCACAGATAATGATAAAATCTCAATTTATCCTTATAAATCTTTAAAGAATTATTCACTATATGTTGAATTTGCGGAATTTTTTTTTCCGCGAATATACATATTTACTCCGAAATTTCCTGATGTGTTCTTCTTTATCACTTCAAAATGACTTTCTCAAAATCGAATGGTGAACATTACAGAATTTTGTTAAATTTTAATAATTTTTATTCTTAACGTTTTTAGTAGATTTCAAGCACAAAACAATTATATAACAAACATGATATTGATATGTTTGACTCCTTATCAGAATGTTAAAAATAACTGTAGTTTGTAGAAGCAAATTTGAAAAAATTTCCACTAAAATCTTTAAAAAATTTTTTAAGGCTTATAAAGAAAATTTCAGTATAGTGTATATGGCTTAAGCCAACTGGAAATGACCTGGTTCACTTGTCGCAAAATTCGGCCCTGTGTCAAAATTAATAATATTCCTCTAAGTTCTTCTAAAGAGTGTATATTTTTCTGAAATTATCAAAATATACCTGTACAGAGCTTTATCAATGTTTCATATAGCTGTAAAAGTAGCATTGTTTACATTAACGTTGCAATATTTTGGCGTTGCTTTATGCGACGTCATGAACAAGAATGGGATATAATATTTCGAAATATATCCAGCTAACATGCATTTATTGTTATGTAGGTTATTTAAATCTCTCAAAAACGTAAAATGCAATTTATTATTCTACATGTTTTAGTATACCGTAATTACTTCTTTATTTTCCACAATTGATAGCAAATCTTTGAATCATTTGGTATGTTTGAAATCGTTTTTGAAATCCCATTTTTTTTAGATAAAAAAAGGTTATTGGAGGGTTTTCATATGTTCGTGGACTGATTCATACTCTAAAAATATTTTAAAGAATTTAAAACAAAAGTAGAATTAGTGTGTTGAAGAGAATCACCTTGATACTTTAAACATTTTTCTATTTCATTATTAGTGTGATGACCTCACTCTGCGTGTCGCCCTTTTATTAATGACGTAATCGTCCCCCCCCCCTGCCTTAATGCACTTTTCTTGACGACATTTCCAGCGTTTTTTTTTTCAGTTAGATTTTTTTTAAAATTTCTGCACATTAGTTTACAATATCTCATAGAAGTGAGAAATTGTGAATTTTACGACAGATCAGTAAATGAAATTGACTATTAGATGACAAAATGTTCACATTTAAAAGTGCGTTTTCCATGCCATTATAAAAATAAGTCGTAAATGTATCGCTTGGTTATACCGATGCGTATTGAAACAATTTTTATAAGATTCATAAGATCCCTTTAAATGACACCAAGGTAAATTCCCTTGTGCTATTGAAAATGTTGGCCAATAACTTCCCCACCTCCTTCCCCGAAAAAGGATTTTCGTAATTGGCAATGGCTTTTTTTGCTTGTGAACTTTTGCAGGTAAGTAAAATAAAATATAATATATCATATATTTCTATGTAAAACTTGGATTCCGTATTGTGACCCCGCCCTACCCCGGGGGTCATGATTTTTATAATTTAGATTCTACTCTATCCCAGGATGCTTCAACCTGAGTTTCAGGTTTTCTGGCCCAGTGGTTCATGAGAAGAAGATTTTTTAATAACCCACACTATTTTTGTATTTAATAACCCTATTAATAACACTATTTTTGTATTTTCTTGATTATCTCGTTATAGAAGAGGATCTGACCTTTTATTAATTACAAATGAAATTCCCCTCCAACGAAGGATGCTTTGTACCAAGTTTGGTTAAAATTGGCCCAGTGGTTCTTGAAAAGAAGTTGAAAATGTGAAAAGTTAAGAGACGGACGGACAGACAGACAGCTAGACAGACGTACAGACAGACGACGGACAATGGGTGGTCAGAAAAACTAACTTGAGCTTTCAGCTCAGGTGAGCTAAAAATATAAAAACAAAACAAAAAAGCAAAACAAACCTGAAAACCCCCTTTCTTCCTTGTAAATCTTATCTTGTATTTAAGAAGGTATTTTTGAACATTACATACCCCATCCTCTACCACCACGTCATCATTTTTGGTATTTTGTTATTCATGATTCAGTTTTGCGCTTGAAAACCAAAAGAATGAATGAGGATGTACAACCCTCTCTCAAAGGACAGATCACTCCATCTTTTTTTTTTTTGAAGACCGGGACGGGAGTCGTAGCAGACAATGAAATTGGTACATTTTACAATGTTTTGTGTTCGAAAAAATCTATACAATGATATGAGCAAGCTAAAAATTTACCTGATCCTTTGTCATACTGTTCAATGATTTGATTGCAGCACAGGAAGGAACAAGTCAAGTCTGCCGAAGGAGTTCAGGCTGTGGCGGGGGATGTTATTGCCAAGAGGTATATAACGGGATTGGACAATGTACTTGTTGTAAGTCAGCTTTAAAATATTGCAAATAACACATTAGTACCGCATTTAGCTTGAAACATAGCTGGCCAATGCTCTTTAAGGATAATACTTTTGGAAGGAAATTTGTGCATGTTTATTCCTTTAACTGATTTAAAAATCAGTGTTTCGTATCCAAACGGTCTTTTTTCTTAAAAGTAAATTTTATAATCCATAATATGAGTGTCATTAATTCAAAGATCTCAGACGGTATTCTTTACTGAACTAATATTAAATCTTTAACCATAACGCTTAAGATCGTGTAATGAAAATCTAATTTAATTTACATCGCAAGATTTTCTGCGCACTTTTGGGGATAATTTCTCCACGTTCCAGCTTTTTTCAATCGAGTACCTTTCACTCTCTATTTAAGATATATTTTCAACCAACTTGTATATTTTTTTCTAAATTCCTACCCTTTATAGTCAACTCTACAGACCAATAAACTCACCTTGCCTAAATTTCCTACCATCCGACATTTTAGTCGTTCCACTCTAGAGAAGACTATAAAACCACTGCGCAACGCAAGTCACTTAAACTTTAGATTAATTCTAATTGAGTTTCAAAAAAACTACGAATCATTGTCTATCAATAAAGACGGGAGAGTGCTTTGAAATTCCCAAAATGAACAACAAGGCTGAAGCTAGCAGCCAAAAACAGTAGCCACTAGGCCCGTAGAAGCTAGAAGCCAATGAGGAAATTCATCAAAGAACTGAGAGTACTCTGACGCAGTACTGTTTTTAATATTCTATTAAAGATAATAAAGGGAAAATAATTGGATAATTAATGGGACAATTAATTACCTATTAAATCAGACATTCGGCGGTAGTAAGGCTCACCTGCATAAAATTTTATTCCTTTATAAAAAATAAAAAAAAAAAAATAAATTAACTTATAAGCTTAATCTACTTGATTAAATAGGCGCAAAAAAACTGTTAACTATTTCAGGAAGAAATCCATTCTCAACTCTTTCAGGGACCTCAAGAATACGACAGTGCCAATAAGCAAACCTGAAATTTGGTTACTCAAACGACTGTCAACCGAAATATGGCACGAGTGTAAACTACGTTGAAGTATGCTTCAAAAATTATTACTAGGGGCAACTTAAGGGGCCTTATCCTTGAAGTGTTCATCAAATGAATATTGGGGCAAGGTAGAGGGGCCCTTTGGCTATCATTTCCCACTTTCAGAATGGGGCTGTAGTGGCACCACCAAGTGGTGCCAAGTGCGTGGGGCATATTTCCATCATTCATATTTTATTCATTGTCGGCCTCCTGAACAAACTATCACGGGGGAATGGTAAAGGGCCTTAGGGGGTATCCCTATACAGATTTCTGCAGGGTCCTAGGGGCTTGGAGGGTCCAATTAGCTAACCTTAACTTTGATGTTTTTTATCATTTTACATTGTGAAACGGGAAAAGGGCAGCTATTATAGACTTTATCCTTGAAGTGTTCATCAAATGAATATTGGGGCAAGGTAGAGGGGCCCTTGGGCTATCATTTCCCTTTTTCAGAATGGGGCTGTAATGGCACCACCAAGTGGTGCCAAGTGCGTGGGGCATATTTCCATCATTCATATTTTATTTATTGTCGGCCTCCTTAACAAACTATCACTGGGAATGGGTAAGGGGCCTTAGGGGGTATCCCTAGGCAGATTTCTGCAGGGTCCTATGGGCTGAAAGGGTCCAATTAGCTGACCTGAACTTTGATGTTTTTCATCATTGCACATTGTGAAACGGGAAAAGGGCAGCTATTATATGCCTTATCCTTGAAGTGTTCATAAAATGAATATTGGGGCAAGGTACAGAGGCCCTAGGGCTATCAATTCCCACTTTCAGAATGGGTCTGTATTGGCACCAAAAAGTGGAGCCAAGTGCATGGGGCATATTTCCATCATTCATATTTTAGTCACTGTCGGCCTCCTGAACAAACTATCACTGGGGATGGGTAAAGGGCCTTAGGGGGTATCCCTAGACAGATTTCTGCAGGGTCCTAGGGGCTGGGAGGGTCCAATGAGCTGACCTGAACTTTGATTTTTTTCATCATTGTACATTGTGAAACAGGAAAAGGGCAGCTATTATACGCTTATGTTAATTAAATATCACCTATATCTTCAACATTATTTGTCCAACTGAACGCGCCATTTATCGGTAGTTCTCTTTTATCCTAGGTATTATTTTATTAACTCGATTTGTTCAAAGTTTAAACAAATCCAAATTATTAGTTTTTACAGAAAATCTGCAATTTTATTATACAATCGTATTTCTCTAAACTATTTAGTACGGATTACTGTCTTGTACAATCAGGAAGTTGGAACTCTTGACGTAGTGTCTAGAATGTATGCCTTACAAGCTAAGAATTGTGAGTTCGATACCGGCTGGGTGCATTTTAATTTTTTTTTAATTCCTTTTTTTTCTTATTTCTTCAACCAAAATGACCTTTTAAGGGTGGATGGGTCACAAGAACAATACGATTACCAGATTTTCTTTTTTTTATGCATAAGATTTTTGGGAAACATTTGCTTATGTATTAATATTTTATTAAATATTATTTACAAGTTTATATCATGACTTTTTTTTTTGCATAAGATTTTTTTTTTCACTTTAATAGTAAATATTTGCATATGTATATTTTTTTTATATTAAATAACATTATTTACAAGTTCACAATTTAATTTCAACGTTTGAAAAATCTTATTACCTCTAAAAAGTGCTGTTTCGATGTTAAAAGTGTGAAACCCTGACTTTTATTTTTATTACATATTGCCATTTTGCACCTCTTATTATGCCCCTATAAACGAAGTTTTGGGGGTATATAGTTTTTGTCGTGTCCGTCCGTTTATCTCTCTGTCTGTCTGTCTGTTTGTTCGTAAAAACTTTAACCTTGTCCTTATCTTTTGATTTAATGGAGCTATGACTTTCCTATTTCACGTGTTTACTCCGTGTGACAAGACTTTTCTTTGTAGACCACCAAATTTGATCTTTTGACCTTGACCTTGGAGTTTGACCTACTTTTAATTATTTTGAAGCCTTGTCCATAACTTTTGAACGGTAAAGACCAAAGCTTCTATCCTTCACACATGTACAGTATTTGATGTGACAAGACCTTACATTGGATACTAGTTACCTTGACCTTTGGATATTGACCATGGAGATTTTTATACTTATGAACAAGATACTTTTTTGAAAAACTATGCGTCGGGCGGCAACAAAGTTAAAAAAACAACATATTTTTAGCATATAAGTCACAGTCAATGTCACAAAGAACTTGAACAGTAAAGCATGCATACCGAATATGAAGTTTTTATCTTTCATGGTTCCAAGCGAGTTATTTTTAGCATATACTAAACAGTCAAGGTCACAAGGTCATTGGCTTTGATGGCTTGTGAATGTGCTTCATTGGTGAATTATATATTCCAAATATTAAGTCTCTATCTCTTTTCGTTCAAAAATTATGACGAAGGTTAAAATTGCCGACAATAAACTGTATTTAGCATAAACTCTGTAGGTTACAGTCAAGGTCAAAAGGTCATTGACCATGGTGGCATTTAAAAGAGCTTAATCAGTGGTACATGCATACCAAATATGAAGTCTCTATCTTTTATGGTTCAAAATTTATGGCGAATGTTAAAGTTTGCAGAAAAAAATATTTTTAGCATATAGGTCACAGTCAAGTTCACAAGACTTTTGAACAATAAGGGCTAGCGATATCATACTTCACTTATGTAATCCCTCATTGGATACCATGAACTTTGACCCTTTGACCTTGTAGTTTCACTTACTTTTGAAAAGTAAACCTTGACATTACTTTTGAGGGGTAAGGCCTAGTGCTTTCATACTTTACATATTTAATCCTTGTGACAGGACTTTTCATTTGATAACAAGACCTATGACTGGAGTTTGACCTACTTTTTAAAATCTTTAATCATCGCCATAACATCTGAAAGGTAAGATCTAAGGCTTTCATAATTTACATAATTTTATGTATTTTTGTGGCATGACCTTTCATTGACTATCAATGACCTTTACCTTGAAGTATTCCCTACTTTAGAAAAACTTTAATCTTGGCCTACTTTCAAATTTTACAATTGTATTTTCAGTGAGAATACCCTTTTTTGGTACAGTTATATTAAATTTGCACTTAAGAAAAGTTAAATCTTTGCTATGTTGCCATACAGGGGTATCAGTTATTCAAAAAAAATCCTGTTTTACTTTGTGATCCGACACATATTTTGGGTTTCCCATAGCAAAGCATGGGCTTTGCCACTATATTCATATGGGAGGCGGGGGTATCATTTAACGAGCTCATTCCTCACAAAACCTCTTGCTAATTACAGTTATCAATAGCATATTTTTGCTTTGATAATGTCACTCCAAAGAGGTTCCTATAATTGGGGGTAGTGCTTTTCTTTGGGTCATACTCAAGTATATCGTGCCTTAATTATACCCCATAAACCCACACACTTAAAAGCGGGAGGGTACATTTTTAAAGGTAAGACAAACCCCGTGGTCAAGGTCAAAAGGGCATGGTTATTGGTTTCTGAACAAGACCATGTCTCAAAGATTACATATAGGAAGTATGAAAGCGTTGGTTCTTACCGTTTAAAAGTTATAGCCAAGGTAAAAGTTTGTAAAAAGAAGGTCGAACTCCAATGTCAAAGGGTCAAACGACTTGATATCCAATAAAAGGGCTTGTCACAAGGATTACATGTGTGAAGTATGAAAACCCTAGCATACTTTTCAAAAGTTTTAGCCTAGGTTAAAATTATTTCACAAGTTCTGAAATCTCCAAGGCCAGAGGGTCAAAGTTGTTGGTATCCAATGAAAGTTCTTTCAACAAAAAATGCATTTGTGAAGTATACATATGTAAATGCCCGGGTATCTACTGTTCAAAAGATATGAACAAAGTAAAAAATTGTCACAAGGAGTACACACGTGAAATATTAAAGTCATAGCTTCATTAAATCAAAAGTTAAGAACAAGGTT